GTTGCTCGGCACATTGCCGGACCTGGAACGTCACTTATCCCACGAGCTAGGCTGAAACGCCTTCCAACTTCTCAGCTTGGTGACAAAGCAAGCAGCGCCTTGATTCCGCTGCTTCACTAAGCCTTACATCGGTCACCGATGGCGATATAACGACGGGCTATGCTCTGGTCGATTAATGATGAATAAATGATGCAACCAACGTCGTTATCCCCCCATCAGGATTACGACAATACTGAGTTATTACAACTTGTTGCTTCCTGACGAACTTCACATGAGAGATATTGAGATCAAAATGAGATGATACATCAATACGGCATCGTAACGATGATCAAGATCGTGTGTCATGGGTGCTCTGGTCGGGCGTTGTGGCAAGGCGGCTAATTGCTGTCCTTGGCCCGAGGTCGCAACATCGATCGTACGCACATGCTGCATCGGGCCATGTGCATACCGGACTTCCTGAAAAAAAGCTCGTTATCTCAGGAAATTGGCTACTCTCTGCGATTGATGTTGTACCTACGGTGCTACCGCATCGGATCGCCGCTCCGAAGCTACGCCTGTACTCCAGTGGGCTGTCATGCAGGTCTTTCAATGTCGGCACAGTCACACGTCCCCTAACCGCCTACTGAAAGAACTTTTTCTCGCGCGAACAGACGTGTGTGGATTATACATGATACTGAGGAACGATGAAGGAGTGAACAGTGGCCCAGATAATTTACAGCCTGACTACGCTAGTGGGTTAGCGCGAAACGGCCAAGGCTCTCGTCCACCGGGCCACGGGTTCCTGCTCACATCTGTCTATCCACCGACGGCGAACATCCCAGATCAACGCTGTGTATCGATTTTACTACACATTCATAGCTGGAAGAACGGGTGTCAGCACCATCCGCCAGGGAACCGGGCAAATCCGATTACGCCCAGGTCGCATCTCCGTCTTCCCTTGCTCGCTCCCTGCAAAGCATCGCATTCGATGCCTCTTAATAGGACATCAACCATGGCTTGGCTGATGAGGCTTTCTCTTCTGAGCGTACGAAATTAGGGGGCTTCGTGAAGGCAAAGCTTTGTGTAAATTCCGTCCGTGAAACGATGCCTCCTCTTGGCGTAGTGACAGCCGCTTCGGGAACCGAGAGAGGACCAGAGATCATGGAACACTCCAGTGATGCAGCAGGCTCAATTGTTGAATACTGTTGAGCCTGGAAAGCTCGTGAGGGCAACATGAACTGGTTGCGTGGTTCCAAGAGGTGCGGGGAAATTGTGCCGCAGGCGCGGGGTTGCAATGCCAAACCATCAACACTGTCCTCTTTCTTCACTCATAGACACGAGCACAGATCGAAGAAGCCTTCCATGATGGCAAGCAGCTTACGCGTTGCTGCCTGTCACGCATCACCCGTCTTTCTCAATGCACGCAAAACAACAGATAAAGCTCTATCCTTCATCAGACAAGCGGCATCTAACAAGGCCAAACTCGTGGTCTTTCCGGAAACCTACATCTCTGCTTTTCCAATCTGGAGCTCGCTACGGCCCCCTACTGAAAATCACTCGCTTTTCCAGCGTATGGTACAAGAATCTATCTATGCTGATGGCGATGAAATGGAGGCGTTGCGCGAAGCGGCTCGGTCAAACAACATCCTAGTGAGCATCGGCTTCAGCGAAAGGTCGCGACACAGCAACGGCTGCCTGTACAATTCGAACATCTTCATTGGAACCGAAGGCGAAGTCCTAGTTCACCATCGAAAGCTGGTCCCGACTTTCTTCGAAAAGCTCACATGGAGTAGCGGTGACGGCTATGGGCTGCGTGTTGCTAACACGCAATACGGGCGTATCGGCGCGTTAATCTGTGGCGAAAACACTAATGCACTTGCAAGGTACTCTTTGATCGCGCAAGCAGAGCAAATTCATATATCAACTTGGCCGACGATATGGCCGACAAGAACTTCGCGTCACACAGCGCAAACTGCCGAGCAAACCACCGACGATAGCAATGAGCAGTCGAGTCCAAGCGCTGCGCGTGGAACAAACTACGACAACTTAGCCGCAAACAAGACCCGTGCTGCAGCACATTGCTTTGAAGCAAAATGTTTTGGTGTAGCATGCTCAGGCCACCTTGGTGAAGATGCTATCGGAACGATCATCGAGGGTGCAAGTCAAGCGGATGTGGTAGCCGAGACCCTACACACTATGCCTCGAGCTGCGACCTTCTTCCTGGACCCTACCGGCGCGCCGTTGCCTAGCTTCACCTACGACGGTGCGGAGAAGGAATATGTATCCGCATTGCAAGATCAAGAAGACATATTGTATGCAGACATGAATCTTGACGACTGCATCGAGGGCAAACAATACCATGATGTAGTTGGTGGATATCAGCGACCCGACGTGTTTGACCTCAAGGTCGACCGATCCAGAAAAGAACCGGTGCGCTTTATTTGATATCAGAATACTACGGATGTCACCTACCAGTCGTATGTTACTTTAGCCTGCTGTCTCGGAATGCGCCGAACCGAATCACAGTGCGCTCCTCGATCGCGTGCACATCTTATGCACAGGCCGGCGGCACTACTTCGACACGCCACAGCACTTTTGCTCATAACCCTGGAAGCCAAAAAGCTCATCATGGCGCAATTGTATTACAGAAACCTTCTGTCTACAGCCGCCGCAGCGGCCCGTCCAGTTTGGGTGTCTTGACCCAAATGTACGGACCCGAGCTGACTGTCAGCAAGCTCTTGCGGGGTGAGAGTTCTCACCAAATCCTTGGGCGTGGGTTCCGATTCAGATGGCTGCAGATCGAGCAGGGGTCGCGGGTTGTCGCAATCAAAAGCTTAATATTCGGTCGGTCGTAGCTCGGGGACTCTAGAATCACATCACGTCGCACTGCAGCAAGGCCTAGGATGGATGTTCAAACACGCAACTTACTCGCATCTCTTACGCAAAACATACGATTTGCACAGGTCGCTTGACGTCCATATACCGAACATTCTTCCTTGTTGTTGCGAAGTGCTTTCAAGTTGAATGCTTACTACTCGTTCCGGTGTCCTGGCATTAGGGTATTTGAATCAGTTCGATCTATGATCAGCGGCAGGTCTGAGCGCATTGCCGACTTCGCGAAGGAAGCGCGCATCTTCACCCTCAAACTCGAAGCTCAGCAGATCTCCTCACAGCAACCAGCTATGTTGGCCAAGTAAAGCGCCACGTCCGCAGATTCTTGATACGGCATGATTACTCCACAGCTTTACAGTCGCAGTGCTTCAAGACCAGGACGGAAGCATGTATGCAGGTTGCGGCGTTAAGCCATTGGAGTGTCAGCAGGCCGCATTCAACTCATTTTGAACATTACTGATCAAGCCGGACAGCATCTTACGCTGCGCGCCCCAGGGCTAGTCAGATGCACATGAAGCAGGTAGCAGATTTTGCGAGAGAAAGATGCTCTTGTTCGTTGCGCAACTAACGTAGCATCTCAAAACTCTCGCCCTCCTCCTAGTCCAACCAGAAAGACGATATTGCTCCTCTCCCTTCTTCCGTAGTCTCCTACCCGTTACCGCTGGCTGCTTAGCCGAACAAATCCCCAAATGCAGACCCATCATCCGAGTCCGCGTCGATATCCATACCCTCCTCTCCGTCCTTCTCGTCATCTCCATCCTCTCCAGTTGTCTTTCCATCGTCCTTGGTATCGGAAGCGGTACCGCGACCGGCTGGTGTGGCCGTGGTCGCGGTGAGGATAATGTCCTTGACGTTCTTGTCGTCGAAAGCCTTGCTGAAGAGCGTGGTCCAGATAGGCTCCACGTCCTCGATGCCAGCGGCTTTGAGTAGTGCTTGCAGCTTCTCGGGGGTGATGGCGATACCTTCGTCGGCGAGGATCAAGGCGGCGTAAGAGACGGCTTGTTCGGCCTTGTTGGTGGTGGTAGACATTGAGATGACGCGGTAGCTTGTGGGTCGATGAGTGGTGTTGAGAGAAAAATTTGACAACCGTAGCAACTTCTTGTGACCTTTGGATCGTCTTGTTGCTCTTGTCGGAGAAGCGAAGTCTTTGTGTTGGTGTTGAACAGGGTCTCTCGTCCAGGTAGTAGATTCGTTAGGCAACGTTGGACGGGACGAGTCACTTTATATGTGCGTGCGGAGGAACACCAGCTCCTGTGAGTCTTAGAATGCGCTTGTCATTCTAAGACTATATTGGATTGCGATCCATGTATGCGATCATAACGCGCACTCTGCGATGACGACCTATTATCTGAACAGCCGACCGTTCACGCTACCGCAGCTTCAGACGAGCTCAGATGCGCTCTCGACGGAGGGCTATTATTGGTGCGCGAAGACTACGCCTCGAACATTAAAGGTACTGTTTCGACGTCGGAGTCAGCAAAAGGGCGCAGCGCCACCCAAAACAGCGGTTCGCCTCGTTGCTCTTCTGAGTCACGGCCAACATCACCACACAAAGCCACTCAAGCGAACCCTGAAAACAGGGTAAAGAGACGTACCGTTTCACTAAATAGGATATGATGGTTCCGTAGCTCACAGTCATAAGGCGATTTATGACTACATCCCCAGATGTACCCAGAGGCAGAAGGCTTTTGAAAGCGAGCTTGCCATGAGCGCCAGCATGAACAAAAAAAGCATGCGCACAGCTGCCAAACGCTCCTCTGCGTCGGTCCGCCGCTTCCAGATGATCTGCGACATGTTTCGAGCTGCGTCGTCATGTTCCGGTAAAAGCTGCCGCTTCCATGCGATACCAGCGTCTATAACAGCATAGTTCAATGTGAACCATTGGAGCTCCGTCATGGTCAGCTGCTTGATCTCGTACAGCGTCAGTACGCCCTGCGACAATGATTGGTTAGCACACCCGGGAACACTGATGTCTATAGACATTATAATGAACTCACCCTGATGTCCCCCCATCGGTATTCCGCCTTCCGCATAGCTGCGTGTTCTGTCGTGTTCGGCAACCACACTATATCCTGCTCGCATACTAACTTCCCCGTATTCGTGCGATATAAGGGCTTTTTGTCCTTGGATCATGAAGCGTACACGGGCTTCCGAATGTCAGGTCCTCCAGCTGCCTCCTCAGTCTTGGTGTGCTTCTTGGTGAGGTTGCCCACGTGGATGCCAGTCAGTGCAATCCGACGAAGCTTCTGCTCCAGCTTATGGAGCGGTTCCATAGTGTCATCGCTCTCGTCTTTTGCCTCTTGCTCGGCAATAAGCCCTTCCCACAAGCTAGGGGTTTCGGGATCCCGCAGTATGGTGTCCATTGTTGTGCCTCGCGACGTGTAAGAGAAATTTCCCGCGTTGTATGAAGCTACAGCTTCCCATAGCTCCTCCAACCGCGCGATATGCTTAGCGAGTGCGTCGCGGAACCGGACCTTGTACTTTTCATTCCTCGTGTCGGGGTCTGCGTATGTAGCCCAGAAGCTTTCGGCCTGCTCTATGGCCCTCATGTCGGCTTCGACTTCTTTATTTGGGAAGCCGTCTCCATATGGCCAGTCATCGCCCGCAGCTGGAGGGGATGGGGGGCCGGGGCGCGTGTTTACTTCCATTGTCGTTGGAAGTCCTGATGAGGGAGGATTGCAGAGAAGGTGAAGGTGCTAAAGGTCCAGCGTCGGTCAATATGCAAACCCGATCGGGGTGAACGACGTGCACGGGCCCTGTTGCGGCGCAGAGTTCACGCTAATTGGAGGTCACCCAGAGCCCGCCCGGGCGCAGCGATTGCAGCGATCATGTGACCTGGCCGACATGAATCTCCAATGCTGCAGGAAGTGGTCCATCAACCCGGGCGCCCAGTCATAAGAAGGCCGCGATGGGGCTCAATACTATCGCGACAAGCAAGTCGTTGGGATATGGAACAGTGGCTGCGCAGTAGGCGTGAGCTGTCATGTTGCAAGACGTATCACGTCACAAGCACACAAGTAGGATATTGATCATGAGATTGATTTAGCTATGGACGCAAGAGGAAACATGGTCATTAGCTGGGATGACCGAGGCGAGAAGGAGACAAGAGCTGCAGCTGCAGACGTGAAGGCTAGTAGCCTATTTTCGCTGAGAGTGTGAGCGGAGTTCATCATGTTATGTAGGGGAGAAACTTACAGCGTGAGACCAAGACCGGTCGAAGTAGACCTTGGAAGGATGCTCTGCCTTGAGCTCGGCAGGTGCAGCTAGCCGATATGCCATTCCCGCCTTGTTGTTGTCCTTGAAGCGACCTGGCAAGTTCGCAGCTTTGCCATCGGTCTTGCGCACAAGCTCCCAAAGCTGAGCAGCTCGCTCCCGTAGTGTAAGCTTGATGTCCTCCGAAGGGGGGAGGAGAGCAGGACCACAGCTTCGTGGAAAGCTTCGGCACGTGTAAGCTTGTCGGAGAGTGGCGCGGGAGGCCGAGAGGTCGTGGCAGAAGCAGCTGAGCTTGGTTCTCCAACAAGCCGCCGAAGCGGTTGCAGCTTGTTATCCCACTTGGCTCCGCGGAGGAAGCCCTGCCAGAAGTAAGCTCGTCGGTGACCTTCATCGACTTCTTGCGCAGCCTGGGAGATGGCGGCAGCCTCGATCGAAAGGTCAAGCTTGGCCTGGAGCTCGCCGCGCATTCTGTAAGACGAAGTTAGTATAAGTGTCAAGTACGATACGACAGAAACTTACCTCTCTTGCGCACACACGCTACTAAGCGCATCACGTCGACTTGCCGAAAGCTCCACGTGCCCCTCGGCAGCTTCCTGAATCTAAGCTTTGCCTCCCTCTCCAACTCCAGCTCAAGAGTTAGCTGCTCGACCTGGGCATGCAGAGCTCGGTTCTTCTCAAGCTGAAGAACTGTCTCATGGAGCTCGAACGAAAACTCAGCTTGAGCTTCCTGATACCGCTTGGGGAATGCGGCATGTGTTCGCTGTAAGCTCGCGAACTCGGCCCGATCCTTGTCGTTGATATCGAGGAGCTTCGTGACCAGAGGCGCAGCTCGCTCATCCGATTCCAAGAAGAGGAAAAGCTGTTCTTCATTGATGTCGCGGATCAGCTCGATCAGCTCATTGGTATCGAGCCTGACTGAGACGCCGCATTTGGGTCTCGTACCCCGGAATGTGTCGGGCACATTCTGCGTAGCTTGGGAAGCAGCTAGTGTACTCCGGAGGCCGAAGTTCACAAGCTCGCTTCAGATAGGAAGTTAAAGCTGGGTTATATCGCTCCATAGCGGCGAATTGAAGCTCGGTAGGGTGGATGTGCGAAAGCTCGCACATATGTCCTATCGTGTGTTAACACATGATACGGAAATGGCTCATCTAGAAGGACTTACCTCGAACACAACCACGTGCGCTTCGGAAAAAGCTATAGCAAAGCTTGAGCTTTGCATTTCCCAAAGGTCCAAGGGTTTGAAAAGCTTCCCACATGTTGCTGCGTGAAGCCTTTCTTCGCCGTAAGTGAAGTACTAGAGCTTCGCGAGAAGCTTCTCGCTGAGTGACAGCTATCGTTTGACGAGGAGTAGCTATTGGCGTAGGAGCCATTGATGGCGTAGCTCGAGTAGCTGAAGCAGGCCTATGGTCGAGCTTGAGGTGACCGCCGGCAACAAGCGCCTCAGTGTAATCTCCAAAGAACATCTCCGCAGCTGTGCAATGTTGATATTCCCAGGCGTGGAACTAGTTGACGTCGTTAGCATGTCGTGAGTTCAGTTACATCACACGAGCTTACATGCAGATCGTCAGCGTGATCCACGATCAGCTTCAGAAGTCGCCTTGGAGATGGAGTTTTGACCGTGAACGGCAGTCCAGCTAGCAGCTCCTCGTCGAGCTGTGCAGCTGCATCGTCGACCAACTTCTGTAGACGTGGGAAAGCCATTGTGGAGATTGGAAGAGGGTTTTGGGAAGAAAAGAAATTTTCGGGTATTGTGTAGTGTGGGTGGTTAAGTGAGACACTGGCGAAGAGACTTCGTAAACAACAACAACAATGCCAAGATATGCAAACGGCAGTCACGTTGACCCATCATTACTCATCACCATACCACTAGCAATCATTTCAAAGATGCTTCCAAAAGGGAATAGCACATTGTATCCTCCTGGCCCCGCTAGTATGCTCGCGCCTCCCAGAAGTGAGTGCGTCGTATCCTTCACGGCTCTTTCACCTCCACTGGCCAGCAGTCGGGGCAACGAATCGTCAGATGATGGAGGTTGATCCCTTATTTCCAAGGTTTGCAGTCGCTGAAGAAAGCGACTTCGTACCACGGCTCCTTGACGCAGCAAACGCACCTGCGTACCTGCTGTTGTCTTGACGAGAGCTCACCAAGAAGGCAAATAGCTCCACGCTGCAGCTTCTCTAGACTATTTCCGGAAACACGCGCCTGAACTGAAGACTATGGGCGACACGGCAGTCGAAAAGTTTCTGGCCCAGTTCTTGGATGCAAGAGTACTGCGACCGGAAGCTGGTACGGACGATGATTTGAAGCTCAGGCCATAAAAGTCTCCCAGGGATGTCAGTAGCTTTGCATCCAACTGGGATCACGAGGAGAAAGGATATCGTGCTTTAAGATCCAAGATCGAACCTGTTACCACACCTCGATCCTCCCCATAGCCATATCCACAGAGGTCGCCGTGCTGGCGGACATCCAGTCCGATTACCGTGCGATCTCAGCCGCCTCTGCCTTGTTCTGCGCAGCTCTCCACGAATAGTCCAGAGGGCTACATCGCCCTAAAACAACCTAGAACTCTTTGTTTTGTGTAAAAGTAGACTCCCGAGCACCTCTTCAGATCTGTTGGTGCATGGCGTGGTGTTGCGGTCGGAGGCCACCTGGGCACGCGCGGCCTATAGAAAGGTGGCGGGGTCAAAGCTCACAGTACGCGTATCGCGTATCCGGCGTATTGAGGTGCGCTACCGCAAGCTTCACTCTGCATCATCTATAAAACAACTGCTGCAAGACCCACCGTTATGCTTTCAATCTACACGAGCCGTTACCATGGCCAAGACTACTGCTTACAGAATGGTATTGCTGCACTTGTACACAGGTGCAGCTGCCCTCGGAGCAAGCCTGCCCCCGTCGTGTCAAAGCAATCACGACCTTCCAGCCAGGAACAACAACCAACAAGCTGTTCTCAACACCTCGCTACACATTCCGAAGCCTCCAAAGCCAGAAAAAATTGACATCGTCGAACTACCTTTACCTCCAGTTTCTCCAAGCCAAGACCCTGGCGCATGTCCGAATCAGACTGGGTGCATCGCAAGAGAGCTTACCGAGAAGCTTCAAGCTGGAGACTTCACTCCGGACGGCCGGAACGTCATCGTCACAGTGACCTTTGTTGGAGCTCCCGCGGCTCCCGACCCGGCGAGCATCTACGATGGAGTTCAGTTAATCCTCATCAAAGCTGATAGCTCAAACTTCAGCAATGGCGATGCGTGGAAGTGCCTAACGTGTGGGGTACCGGCTGAGAACGCAAGAGAATTGGATCCACAACGAGACTATCCTCATGTCTTCAGAAGCGGCGACAAAGCGATCTGGGGCCACAACATCCTCGACTGCAACGGAGAGCAGTTGGCTAGCGATGAATGTACGCCTGACAATATCCACATCTATCCGATTCATTGGTCAGCTGGCAGTCCGCGTGAGTTGCGTATGCACCCTGACGATTTCCATATTGGTTGGAGTTCGTTCACCAACGACGCTGGGCAATATTCCTACTTCGGGCGTCTGGAGTTCAATGCGAGACCCTCAGGGTCGGGCCCTGGTGCGCCTCGCTATGACCTGGTCGATGTTGACTTGCTCGTGGATCCAAAGCGCGGAGCTTTCATAACGGCCGAGGGCGAGGAGTTGAAGCTTCACCCCGACTCAATCACGATTGGCGAACTGCGGGGCTTCAGTGGTTCAGGCGACGAGATACTCTACATCGGTGCGCCAACCGAGTCGACAAATATCGATCTGTATGCGGTCCACATCGAGACTGGGATTGTTCGTCGTCTGACCAGTCACCCTGATTACGCCGATCCTATCGCCTTCTCTGCCGATGACGAGTGGTTCGTCACTCAAGATACGCGTGCCAGCAAGCGCCAGATGTGGATGTCGGGTATGCGAGGTATTCCGCCTCTCATCGACATCGTTGCTGTCGCCGTAGCCGCATCTACACGTAACAATGGCCCACGTCGCTTCTTCCAGCCAATCTTGATAGATCGTTATGGGGATCGTGAGTCGTACTACGGACAGCAGGTCAACGGAGAAGACGATGGTAGCGAAGGAGGCTATGACGATCCGAACTGGAACGGCCGAGCGGACCCGGCTTTCTCTTTGGACAGCACGTGCATTGTGTACTGGCAGGCCATCGTTACATCGCCAGCATGTGGTGGCACTAATCCGCTACAGTGTCCAGTCTCTACTGCGCCAGGTGGGCGTGAGTATCGTGTCATGCTCGCTCGCATGCCCGATCGCAAGCCTGCGCGTCCAGCCCCAGTGTACGAGGTGCCTAGTCGCATACCGTGGGCGACGCCGTTCCCATCAGGAGCCAAAGTCCCTTCGCAGCTTACACTAAAGCCAGGCAACTACACACTCCATGGCAAGATCTCTGGGTTTGCGAAAGTAAAGCTCATCGGAGACACGGCACATCCACAAGCAGACTCCATCAAGCGTGTCGCTGCCAACTACTCCAACTTCTCCAACGACGGCGAGCATGTCATCAACGGCTGGGAAGACGTTGAGTTGACGGTTTCGACTCCGAATGTGTGGGACCAGAAACTTGATTGGTACTCTGATATCTCGCAAACGGGGTCCACGGTTGGGAGTAAGAAGACTGGCCTGGGTGGATTTCATTTAAGGATCGATGTAATGAAGAACATACTCGAAGCAAACGGAACGTTGACCACAACGATAGACGGCGTGGAGTATCACCAACCGGCCAACGGTACCTAGAAAGGATATAATTAGCTACATAGGTATAGCTGAATTGATGGGCGGCTTCGCTTCAGCTAATCTTCCCAAGTTGCGCGTTGGTCGCGTGTGTATTGAAGTCGCATCGTTGCTTGATCACCGCCATTCGGTTACTCCTATGATTGATGTGGTCTGATCTGTGACAAATGCACGTGTGAGTGGCGTGGGAATAACGCAGAAGCTGTGCTGGTCATCAGCAACAAGCGATTCACACTGAAAATCGTGTTGGACATGGAGAGGCGGCGTTTTCCGGCTTGTGGCGCAATCTTCGATTCTTGAAGCATGATAGGGTGGCGAAAGTGTGATTGTCCCCGGCGGAGCTGCTTTTTGCCAACACGCGGAAAAAGCATACCAGGGCCACAGGCGTGTCGTACAGCGTTCTTCATCAATCGACTGATATCTGCAGATGGGAGAGTCTGTCACGCATGTCGTGTGTCGCATGTAGCATGTTGAGCTGTTTGGCGTGACGGTGACGTACCTAGCGGCCGGACAATTTGCCCTTGCTTAGGCTCAGGCACGTGGCCCTCTTGGCGGCGGGTACCCGCATCTTTCGCCTGCCACCACCGAGGCTTGAGTATCCGCAAGTCGCACGTTTGTGACTTGCAACCTTTCTCAGCGATCAGTTTTTGGACCCCAACGATGGCGCGATATCTCGTGGATGCTTTGTAAGAGCGCACACCCGTCGATTACCGACGCCACCCAGTATGGCGCAACCCAGTATAACCACATAGCGTCACTCCTATGGCCAGCACATATGCTCGGTGAAGCCGTCTTGTCCTGGCACCTGCTTCCCCTGGAATGCCCAGATGGAAATCACCGCTTCACGATAGCGTCCGGCCAGCCAGCTTTAAACTTTGCCCCAAAGGGCTTGCTTTTCAGGGCCAGTTAATCTATCTTATCTAGTGCTGCACATCACCCAGGGCAGGTCCTCTCATTGCCCATGCATCTCTGGATCTACTTGATCCTCCCGGGCAGGTGCATCTGGAGTTTCAGCGGAGACAGGACGAAAGCAGAAGGAGATCAAGTTAGCGCCCGGCGTAATTCGCGAAGTCGGCCAATCAGCGGCAGGCGACACCATGGCACCTCCGACACGTTTATGCTAGAGTATCACCTGCCGACCATTAGGAGAAGGTCGATCGTTACACCAAAATGGAAGGAATGTATAAAAACAACCTTGTTTCACGACATACTGTAGAGCATCGGCAACTTCATTCTAACGTTCCCCATATTCTTCACCCCAAGCAGACTCAAGATGAAGTACGCTCTTGCCGCAGCTCTGATACTCCAGAGCACTACCGTACTCGGTAGCCTTCTGCCTGTCCATTTCAACGCACCTTCTCCAGCACACTTTCTCGACATCGTCAACAATGGCACATACGATCTTGGCTGCAGACCCAAGGCGGTGCCATCGAAAGAAGGCCATTTCGAGCTTCACGCCCTGCTGACCGAGGACCAAATCGCGTATCTGTCCAAAGAGTACGAGAACCATGCAGAGATCAGCCTACACCGTCGTGACCTCAGCAAGAGGGCTGCCACCGCACCGATCGGCACTGGCGACCGTTGGTCGGGCGGTTCAGTCACACCGTCTGGTCTTGGCACCAAGGCTACGGGATCGACCATGAGCAGCATCATGAATCCCACCGAGATCAACTCTGCCATCAAGGGACTCGTCAACGGATACGGTATCAGCACCGTCACTCTGCCATACAAGACCTTCAATGGCGCTACGCAAACCGCCGGATACGTTGGCGCCGGCACAGACAAGTCCAAGTACCGCCTCTATCTCTCCGCTGGAATGCACGCACGCGAACGCGGAGGCCCTGATCAGCTCATCTACTGGATCTCAGATCTCCTCGCCGCGAACAAGGCTGGAAGCGGTCTGAAGTACGGTAGCAAAACATACACCAATGCTCAAGTCAAGAGCGTCCTTGCCGCCGGTATCGTCTTCTTCCCACTCGTCAACCCAGACGGTGTCGCATACGACCAGTCTTCAGGATCACTATGGCGCAAGAACCGCAACACGCGGTCCGGCACTAGCGGTGCCTCCGTCGGTGTAGACATCAACCGCAACTTTGACTTCCTCTGGAACTTCAAGAAGTACTTTGACCCCTCCACATCCCCTGCTTCCACCTCGCCAAGCTCAGAGGCATTTTACGGTTCAGCTGCGGCATCGGAGCCCGAGACCAAGAACCACGTCAGTGTCTACGACTCATTCCCGAAGATCAGGTGGTTCATGGACATCCACTCCGCTACTGGCGACATCCTGTACAACTGGGGCGATGATGAGCTCCAGAGCACTAGCACCACCATGAACTTCCTCAACAGCGCGTATGATGGAAAGAGAGGTCGTCTTGGCGACTCCACGTACAAGGAGTACATTCCCTCGGCTGATGCGACAAACATCAAGAACGTTGCTGCTAAGACGGCGGCTGCGATGCGAGCAGTTGGTGGCCGTGACTACACATCCATGCAGTCTGTCGGCCTCTACGCCACCTCTGGTGCTTCGGACGACTACGCTGCTAGCCGTACATACGCCAAGTCTGGCGCGAACAAGATCCACGGCTTCACCATGGAGTTTGGATACAGCACCAACTTCTACCCCACTCTGCCCGAGTTCAACACCAACATCCTTGACACCAACGCCGGTTTCATGGACTGGGCGCTTGCCGCGATCGCCGCCGGCCTTGACTAATTGATTTGCTTGAGTACGCAACGACATATTGGTTGCAATAGGGGTGTCACGGCGTTTAAGAAATGTGTAATGCGGAGTTGTAGTAGCATGGGCGGCTCAGAGGAAGTGTTCCTAGAGCGAACGGCGTTGACGAGGATACGAGGATTGATGACAGATGATGATTCTTTTCGACGGCCGTTGTAGCACGTGTAATATTTCTATATTATTCTAAACCACCTGTCCACTTCCCATGATACAAAACGATAAGGCGAGATGATCGCACTACCCCAACTTGAAACCACCTCTACAACCACGCTGGAATAATCCCTCGGGATCGACGTCTCCACTAACACCTTTCAAGAATCTTAAATTCTCCTCCCCATAGCTCTCGAATGGCTTTTGCCACGCCGCGCAGTAGTTTAGATAGCGATACCGATGACTCGTCCCATGCTCAGTGGCAAAAGCATCAATCTGCTCGATCGCTTCTCTAGTGATAGCCCTCACTACCTCATCATGCTGTTCCAACGCCCAGTTCACTGTGAATTGTACATTCACAAGCGGATCATCAGATCCTTCGTCAAGGCCCAGCGGGTTCGCATCGCCCTTCCGCGCCCAAGAAGGTAAACAAGGCTGAAGGACAAGCGTCCAATTCATCCCTTTGATACTATGTTTCTTGATCTTCGGTATCGCATCACGATATGCTTTATGCGCCGCCTCCAGCGTCAGCTTATCGTTTTTGATCGTCGTAGTCGCAAATTCCTGTCGTCGTCCGGGCGGGTTCAAAACACTGAGTTCGTCTGTCGCACCAACCAGACTGCGGATCTTGAACGTACTCCACACACGCCCAATCTTATAGAACCCAGAGCTGCGCCAACATTCCGGCCAGCCTCTTTCTTTCGTGTCTGGCGCGGTGTGAACAAGGTGCACAGAGATTGCTTGGATGCCAACGGATTGGAGGTACGTGAAGCATGCCAGAGGGCCAGCGGCGTAGGGGTCGAAGCGTTGGTCTAGCCCACCGGCCAGTGTTCTCGAGGCGGTATCATGGAATGCTGTGAGCACACCAGGCGCTTTCCATGGAAGGAGATAGATGAAGCCGCTCCATACGCTTTTCGCAGCGAAACTACGGACTGTGAAGCTTGTCACGACGCCGAAGTTGTTTCCTCCGCCCTTGAGTGCACGCCAAAGATCAGGTTTATCGTACTCCGAAGCAGTTACGATCCTTCCATCTGCTAAAACGACCTCGTATCCAAGGACGTTGCTGCACACGAACCCGTATTGCGGCGAGAAGAACGAGAGGCCTCCACCGAGCGTGAGGCCAGACACACCAACAGCAGAATTCCTCCCACCAGCGACCGCGAGACCCTCTTTCTCGAGTTCTGAGTACACATCAATCCACTTACAGCCCGCGCCAATAACCACACTTCGGCCATCTTCAGCAGGAACGACCTGTTTGAAGAGCGACAAGTCGATAAGGACCCCACCTTTGATGCTCGACGCACCAGCAACAGCAGAATGACCGCCACCCCGAATAGCAAAAATCGATTCCCCTTTTTCTCCTGTTTCCTTTGCTCGCTCGACCCTCAGATCGAACTCGCGTTTGAGAATCTTGACCGCCTGCGCTAGCTCCCACACATTGCGGGGTCGCACAACACATGCGGGCGGTACCTCACACGCTTTCTGGTCCCAATACGCGTTCATCGACTCTCTGAATTCCGTTGCCTTGTCGGGCGTGATGACGATGTGGGGAATGGCTGCGACGAGCTTGGCTTTCAGTTGCCGTCCAGATGCTGTTAGGCCATCGTCGAGTCTAAGACGGCCAGGTTTCTCGGCTTCTGCATCGCGTTCTATTTGGGATGTGCGGACGCTGAGTCGTTTTCTGATGTATACAGTTCCGAGGAGTATGGCTATGCATGTGTAGGATAGCCATGAGAGCACCATCTTTGAGATGAGTTAGGGAGGCTGGCGCCTAAACTGCGGGCAGACGGGCCAATGCAGCTGAATATTGTCAAACTGTCGATGGCAATCTTGGAGACAGCATGAATGATGAGTTTTAGGATGGACCAAGATATATAATGGTTGAGGTAGGGTATATGGGTGTTACTGGCGTGGACATATGCTGCGGCATCTGGTTTCACATGTGGATGACATAATCACTTGGCGTCAGCAGGCCTGATCGGTGATGACGAAATGCGTCGCGCAATCTACTACATACGTACAGTCCTCCTCTGACAATTGCATCATACTTGGGATGCTGCATGCTTCAACCTTCAGAGTACAATCAAGTCCTAGCAAGCGTACAGTCGGCGTCTGATGCGACCCGAAAGCTGTCATCGCTTGGTGGCACTACCAATCGGCAACCATATCTCGTCTCGCTAGCTTGTGATGACAAAAGGCTGCGTGTCACGGAGCTGATCCAGCTTGTGCCACTATCGATCTTCCTGACTACACAAGTGACTCTGGTCAAGCGTTTCGGTGTGTGATTTCGAGGCGCTCGACAATGCGCAGACAATACGACATCCACACCGTACCGGCCCTGGGAACTAATGCATCATCCTGCGTGAACTCTGTACGCGAATGACTTTCGGTGCGGATGTAGCGATCGGCACAGCCTTGGCGTATGGCATCTCGTAAATGTGCTGTACACGAATCCTCGGATAATGAGTTTGGGAACTCGAAGGTAGTCAATCCTTCATATGTCGATATCGGGATACCACTTCTTCACCCACTGGTCAAGAACCTTGGGCCCTACCGGCTTCGTCAGGAACTCGTCTGCGCCGGCATCGTCTGCGGCCTTGCGATCGTTCGAGGAGTCCTGACCAGTGACAATGAACAAGACACTCCGTTCATACCCATGCTGCTTCTCTAATCGCCGTATCTGTCGTGTTGCATCGATACCATCGCAAACCGGCATCTGAAGATCCATGAGGATGAGCCCGAATGGTTGGATGGGCAGATTTTGTCGGAGCAGTGGGTCGTACTTGGGTACGAGAGCTTCGGAAAAGATGTTGACTGCCTGCTGGCCATCCTTCGCACTTCGGAATGGGATGCCACGACGACTGCAGTACATCTCCAATAGACGAAGATTGACAGCATTGTCATCAACAAGGAGTGTCAGGGGTTTGCTCGATGTTGAGGTCTCCTTCGTGGAAGCCGGAGGCTTAGTTTCGATGCGCAAGGTCCGTACCGACTGGACTAGTTCATTCTGAAGCTTGTCGGGGAATATTGAACCTCGCTCAGATGGGAGCTGTGGGCGCTCATTCGAGTCCAGTGTAGAAGCTTGACTGGGTGGCTCGATAACGATGCCACCGGTCGCACGCGACTCCGTGTCCAGAGCAGAGGCGCGGAATTCGGCCGAGATTGCATCCGCGTGCTTCAACGCTTGTTCAAATGTTTCCGACAAAAAGGGACCTTGAACGTATACAACATTTCCCTGCCGTCGCACACGTTCAGTATGGAAGTCGAGAAAGCATGCGCATTCTGGAACGAGACATATCGCGACCTGATCAGCATCGATGTTCGACGTGTGTCGGTAGAGCTCCGCTAGATTGGGTGTGTAGTCGACGACTACAAAAGCGCCCTTAGGTGTGCTGGAAGCTGTCCAACCGGCGCTTGAAAGATACTGTGTGAAATAGTCGCCGAGAGACGACGTTGCTGACTTAGACGTGAGATGATGGAAGGTTTGCGGGAGCTCACTGAATCTATCCTTCACTGGATGGGAAGCAGGTAATGAGCTTGCGCAGACGGGCTCGTTGAACGTCGCTCTGATGTGCGAGCCTGCACCGTAGGGTGAAGTGACCATCTTAATCTCACCACCCAACAGTGTTGCCGCTTTACTCGCCAGCGTCAAACCAAGAGCAGACTCAGTACCGCTAAGATCGATCTGTTCGTGTGCGTCAAACACGCGGTCGTAATTCCCTTTGGGTATTTTACGCCCACTGTGTTTGACGTCGACGACGAGAGACTGGCAGCCCTCCTCAATTGATATAGTCACTGCTACCATACCGCCAGCAGCATTTTGAGCGGCGTTGACCATAAGCGGCTGGATACAGTCCAAGAATACCCGCTTATCGATAGCAAGCAAGTCGCAACTCGGCGGTAGATGGTGTTGTATGACGATAGATGGCCGCGTAGAGAGATCGTCTGATAGTCCTAGCAGAGTTTCCTTCAGCAAAGCATCTTCAATCTCAGAGACGGTATGCATGGTAAGAACGCGTTCCGCCTGTGCAATATCTGCCCACTGATTCAACTTGATGAGATTGTTCACCGTTGAGATCAGCTCTCTTGCCGAAGTCTTGATGGTCTTAATGTAGGTGTATGGGTCCAGCTGTTCAATGTCCGGGCTGGCAGTGGGTGATGAGGCGGCTGTTGAAGGGACCACGTTTCGAGCTTTTAGCTCTTCAGTGAGAAGTTCGACAGAGCCAAGAATGCCATGTATAGGAGTTCGAAGCTGATGCGTAATGCCGCGAAGGAACGTTTCCTTTGCGCTGAGCGCCTCCTGGAGTGCGCGGCCTTGCCAATATCGACATAGTATTGTCTAAAAGTCACGAGGTGTCAGCAAAATCCCCCAAGATGAGCCTAGCATTGCTTACCGCACACATATGCACGAACCAAGAATCTATATCGTCAAAGACCATCTTGAGGTCTTTACTGGCTACTACTAGGAACATCGCTGCACGCTGACTGGTGCACTGTGCCGCGATAGCCCGTACAGGCCGAGGCGCAGTCATGTCCAAATGATTGAGGTTCTCGATGGCGTAGTCGAAATCTGCGAAAGTCAGCATATGCCACATTCGCATCTATCATAATGACTCACAAGCTGTATCTTCCCAAAGACCTTGCTCCAGCTCTGACGTGCGAAATCTCGTACCACCAGCGAAGGTTATGTGGCTGTCCGTGGTCTGATGAATGCTCACCTGCGTATTAAGATAAACATCCTCGAGCATTCTAGGGATCACTTCCTCCATATTGTGGTGGTTGTCGCATTGCTGCTGAGCTTGAGAGAGCAGTTCCAGCATCCGCCTACGTTCCTTTTGACGGCGAGCTCTTGCACTGTGCACTATATCCGTAACAATCCAGTCAGCAAGCCTAGCAAGAGCCTGCTGTACCGATGGCGAGAGAGGCTCTTGCGGGGAATTAGAAGCGACACAAAGGGAGCCGAAAGCCACGTGCTCCCCAAATTCAGTATCAAATCTCAGCGGTACACCGGCATATGCGCGCAAGCCACCCTGTTCAACATGCGGTGACTTCTCGAAGCGCCAATCTTCGGCCATATTCTGCAGCGCAAAAACAGTCTGTAGACATCAGTAGTGGTCCGGTGACAAAGAGGAGTGCCGACTTACGCCTGGTGGTTGGTTGATGGTGTGCGCGCAGGTACTCTCGCGACGTGGTAATATCGCGAGAGGAAGGTTCACTGTGACCATCCGAGTATAAGTGCTGTGGTTGAGAAGGCCGGCAATGACAAACTCCCATCCTACTGTCTCATGCGCAAGATGGACCTTTTCCTGTAGGCGAGACATCAACTCTACATCTTCAAGCGCCCCGCGAGTATAGTAGTATAGCAATGTCAGCCTCAGCCTCTCATTCCGGGTCAAGACTGGGAAGAGATAGCGATCCGAAGAGCACTGAGGTGGACATAGTGTTTTGGCAGGTATTGGTGCTGGTGTCCAGATGTCGCCATCGCTGGGATACACAGACGTGACTTGTTCGGCAGTCCATGGCTCAAGGGGTTTGTCGGCATTCTCAAGATCAAGTATTGGCGCGGTGGTGGTCGGGCGCTCGGACGATGCCGGCGCAGCATGCCTCGATGCGAGGACGGCCGCATCTGCCTTCGGGAAGAAGGCAACGCGCTGGCCGCCCATGAGATGCATCGAGATATCTGTATGTCGGATTACTACCCAGCATTGAAAGCAAAGGTCGCGCAGAGTGTTTTGCAGAGGTGTGATACACTGCGGGAGCTAAGGCTGTCAGAGGGGCGCGCCGGGTGTAACGTTCCAGACTGGTCCAGATGCTCGATCGTAAGGATTGTGGCGACCGCGAAGGATTAGAACTGCGGCGACGATCGCGACAACCGATAGTACCTCAAGAAGAACTGGTATGACGAGGATGAGTTGTTTGCATCTGTTTGTCGTGTTCAGCTCGGAAAACTGCTAGTCGCAATGTATCCCGGCCTGGCGCCTTCCTCCGGGCCGAAGCAATCGGTCGATGAGATGCCTTAGCTGCATTTTCAGAAATCGTTGCCAGACTGTTTGCTCAGCACACAAGCAGACGCCTTTGGACTGTCGCTGCTTGGAAACGCGCTGCGATCGGTTGAGCATAGTGGAAGTGGCAAAGCTCGTGAAGAAAGCATGGGAGGCGGGGCGACAGCGCTTCCGACGCGTCCTATTGGCTGCGATCTGGCCCACTAATTTCCCAAACCTCACGTCCTCCGGCAGATGTCTACTTCATTTCTTCACAACGCCGCGCCTCGTCTTCTCACCTTCGAACTGCCGTTGTAAGGAGCCAAGATGTCACTTCTCAATCGCCGGGGTCTCTCCATCATGGAGGACTAGCTCAGTGTAGCCTAATGCACATTGCGGCCGAAATGTCAAGCGCGTATGTCGGACGCCATCCAAGACAACCCTCTAGACCCGGATGTCAGCTTCTGGTCATGCCAACCTCCAGCAACGGTCTCCATGGACCCTTGGAAGGCTCCGTAAGCCGTGAATGCACACCATAGGCTAGTCTTCGTCTGCTCGGACATAGCCAGCTATCCATCCTGTACATGGCACCTCAAGATTGGCAACATGGCAGGGGACAGGACTTCAGGCGTGGTATCGTCGGCGAGTCGAATACTATGGACACTGGAAACAATGTTTGTCTTCACATTTGCGCAAGGTAGTATGTGCGGCCATCGCCGCCTGTTCTCTGTATCTTCTATCAAACACCTCATGATGTTCTCATAGCAGTTGTCAAGGGGCCCACGTCCCTAGTATCGGCGACTACATGGCCTTACACACGGTCGCTATGTTGTGAAGCAGAAGCAGTCTTGGCTTTCACTTTCACTCCACTGCGCACATACCACCACCATGCACTCGTCAGTCGCTCTGCCCGCTCTTATTGTTGAGCCTGAAACAATAGCCTCCCAGCCAACCATTGCGACCTCTTGAGGCTCATCGCAACTTGCAATTCCGCCTAGATTCACGCAAACACCCCGCCCCTCGTTTCTCCATTTCTCGTCGCCCAATAATACACGCGAAAGGCTCACTACAGAAACAACCTACAGCTCATCTCAGCGATCTTTCCACAACTCTCCGCCTCCGAAGCGCTACCATGTCGTCTCAACTGAACGACTCGTCTCGCAGTACGGATCCCGCCTCTGCCCAGCCAGATGCAACAAACTGTCCCGAGCCTGGCTTCATTCCGAAACCGCTTCGCGCAAGGAAGAGATTATACGACCCCAGTCTGACTGCGGGGATGCGCCCACCCGACACAAACATGACAACGGATGCTCCAAATGTGGAAGCCACAAAAGAGCGTGTATGGACCGAGGAAACCCAAAACCTCCGCGTGGAAGCTACCAAGCTGCTGGCTGCCAAACTCTCCAGGTTCAGGAAGCTCAGTTCACCTAATGCCGCGATCATGCAACGTGAGCCCGAGGTCTTCGCTAAGCAATGGGAGTTCGACATCTGGACCCGATCGATACAAAGCTCCGACAGGAAGAAGTACGACGACGAAGTCAGATCAACCTTGCGACTCCTCACGAAGTGTGACAAGAAGTGGTCTGAGGCTTGGCCAGTCGATGATGGAAGTTATTGGTCAGGTGAAGAATGGTTCGTTTGGGAGATGGACAGATTGAACTTCGACATGCTGGAGAACGAGAGCATCGCATCTGGGCCACATTCTGCAGACACTTCAGCCAGCCTCAGCTATGTATATACTCAATCCGACTCCGCTACCGAAGCCACCGAGGCCATACTCAATGCGGACAACCATCGAGAAGGCCTCTCAACAGAGGCGCAGCTGCGCAAAGACAACCGTCGAGGCTTCCGAAGCCATATCCGAGGCATCTGCGAGTTGCTGAGATCCGCGAATCATACAGCGAACCTTGACGTCGTCGCGCTTGCATCATCTTGGGAGTCCGAAATTTGGACCTCGTTGCTCGAGCACGAAGACTGCAACACTTCATATAACGAGGACATAGATGAGGCACTGGAAGACTTGGATGACTGGAAAACGTACTGGGATTCTTCTGAAGGCGACCCTGAAGGCAGCCGAACCGGTCGGCAGCTCTTCCTCGACTACGTTCAACAGCTTCAGGCGCGCGACGCTTCTTCAGATGGGCTGACTGAACTGCAGAATGAAGTCAAAGCATCGACAGAGCCCTCACATCCTCACGAAGATGGTGAAGATGCTTGCTCCTCCATTGAGACCGACAATAATGATGGTGGCGTCGACGTTGGCTCAGACGACGAGTCCGAGGATGACCAGACTGAAACGCAATACGTCACTGACGAGACCTCTGAAGACCATGGCCTTGATTCAAATACTGCCGACGAGCTCTGGGATCTTGCTGGGGGTAACGAAGAGCTATCAGATGATTCTGCAGACGACGCTGAAGATAACGAAATATATGATAAGTCTGACGAAAGCGACGATGAGGATGAAAGCGAAAACACCATAGATGGTGTCAACTTTCACCCTAGCTCCCCTGTCGCAGCATCTCCGGTAGCATCAGCTATCACTTTCACCTTCAAGCCTTCTCAAAGCAGCGTCGCTGTACCTACCATCCCGTCCAGCTTCGACCCTGAAAACTGGACTGGTGCATTCGATTTCACGGCACCCCCAGGCGGCGACATGGCCGTCAATGGATCTCTTTCGGCTGGCGATGATGTCGCCAGTCAGACTTCAGAGGTTCAAGACCTCAAAGACTCTGAGCAGATTGAGGAGGTTGCCGCCGACGATAGCCTGGAGCCTACTACTTCTTCCCTCGCTGACGACGACGTAACCGCCAGGGTCAGTCAAGAGCGCGCAGTTCAGGAGGTCCCCCTGGCCGCTCCAAAGGAGCATGAGACGGAAAGGCCACAAAAGGCCGTCTCAGTAGACTGCTCTGGTAGGATCAGAGAGCTGACTGCTGCCATCAATGCATGCGAGGCCGAATGGCTGAACGCAAATGCAGGCAATTGCGCTCCTTCCGCTTTCGTCGAGCTCGCCGGTAATCTCGATGACATTGGTGCGAAGATCACCAATAAAGGTGATTTCTCTTCCCCGTCGGCATTGAGCAAGATCGAGGCGCTGTTCGCGAAGTGGGAAGCTTTTGTCAACACCATGAAAGCCTTCATCGGCATCAAAGAGTACTTCCATCCCGACAACGAGTTCCGCTTCAATCGACTTGTCACGCTATATCGCTCAGATGTCGAGATGATCCCCGTGTACGAAACCATGAGTCGCATGCCAGGCGCTCAAGAATACTGGTTGGGTGAGGCAAACAAGCGACGAGAGAGCAGAGATGATAATCTGAAGAGCATCAACAATGAGATTGCAAAGATGTTTGGTCTTCGTCAAGCCTACCGCCATGAGCTTGAGATGCTGAACGGGCAAGTAGACGACAAGGCGTTCAAGGAGTTTGGCAAGATGACCCTTAACATGGTTCACGAACGCATTTTGGAGGTGAATGAGGCTTTAGGCCTGGAGGACTTGTAGATACCTTCCAAAAATCCCCATTCGTTATCTAGATATACCCAGTATAACAATCAAGTCTCAAACCACTCCAACTCATCCTCCTTCCCAAACACCGCCCTATAACCCCTGTCTCCATCCTCCTTAAGCACCTCCTCCGTATGTATACTGTGCAAACTATACTCCCTTTCATCAAGACTACTTCCATCAGTCCCATCTTTCGCAGACCCAAAGATGCGAATGTGAATGTATCCGTTGTCCAAAGCGGGCAGTTTGACTTTGCCGAAGAGATGCAGACCGTATGCTGTTACGGCCACGCGAACGGATTCGAGATTCTCGGCGGTGAAGGATGCGAGGTCGCTGTCGGAGAGGTGCGAGACGGCGCGGAAGTATTCGGGTTCGTGCTCTGCAGGGGTTGTTAGAGGGATGGAGGAGAGAAGGCGGGCAAGGAAATTTTACTGTCGTGGTCGCGTCGTAGTTTGAGGAGTTCGCTTTTCACCGCGTCGAGGATAGAGTTGAATGCTTCGAGGGATGCTTGTTGGGGCGCGTGCGATGCGCTCAGGTCGACGGTGTCTTCTGTTGCCATTGTGGATGCTGTGACTGTAGGTTATGGAGTAAATAAGCTATGTGTTAATAGGTTTGAAGGTTTAGCAAACGATCTGTTATGATACGGCTCTATATGCTGTGTATAGATTGTGCCATGTGCCATGACGTGGACTGATCAAGGATGCGATGTTGGATGAGGCGTGTCGCGTCTCAGCGAGTGGGCACCGAGCGCGCCTAGCCTGGAAAACCGGGCAGTTGAGGGAGGAAACTTGGTCTCACGGCTTGCAAATCTTGGGAAGCACCGAGAGATCAGGCAGAACGACTACGCATGCCGAAAGTCTGTAGTCTGAACAATCGTGAGACGTGTAGGACTCGAAAGCGTGTGGTAAGTGCCAGACTGCTAGACAGTCGATAGCTTGAGGACCCTTGGACCCTGGGGAGCTCGGGTGACTAAGCACATACTAGCGCACCTCCGCAGCTTCCCCGCTTTGTCCTTCAGCAATCTGGGGCAGACTACCATCCAACGTAATTATGCGTCGGAAAGCAGTCGTCTACTGATCTGTCCTTCCATATCTCACGGTCACCTTGAACAATCGAACAGGTGAATGCAGCAATGGGAACATAATACGTGCGATGCGACAACAGCCCGAGAGAAGCAGAAGTAATACATGCTCTGGAGGTATGGGCCGCAATAGACGCATTATCACAATGATTTCCTAGACGTACACACATGAACACGTCTGGAGATCCATCGTTGCTTGCAGTTGAGAAATCCTTACGCTGTAGGTCTCATTTCCCTTTCCATCGGAAAAACCCCGTCTGCAAGAAGCGAGGGTAAATCGGCCCATGGCATTCTGCGCTTACCTGCATGGCTACATTGAGTACCAGTTACTCTGGCGTCTAAGGCGTGTAAGCGCGCCCTTTGCAAGACACGCATAAGTTTGTCCGCGTCTGCCCTCCTGTTACGACTCCAGCATAACAGCATCAAGATGTCTACTACTACCATCACAGAAGACCGCATCGAGCTCACGAGCTTTCATAACACTCCGCAATCCCCGTCAAGCAAGACCTTCACTCCAAATTCGAGACCGTCGTCTCTGAGTCACATCCATGACGAAACACCAGACAACGCAGCCTACTCCGTCACCGCAGTACCAGACGGCGGATACGGATGGATAGTAGTCGCAGGCTCCTCAACGACAAGTTTCTGCAACAACGCCATCATCAACTGCTGGGGCGTCTTACAAGCCGCGCTACTCGATTCAACGCTGAAGGACGTCCCTCCATCCACACTCTCCTACGTCGGTTCCCTGGGACTCGCAGGCGGCGCTTTGTACGGACTAGGAGCTGTCCGTCTCATGAGATTGATAGGCGGCCGAGCAACAATCCTCCTCGGTGTCTTCCTCATGGGCTTAGGTTTGATCGGAGCAAGCTTCTGCACGTCCAATTTGCCTGGTCTGTTCGGCACGTACAGCGTCATTGGCGGCATTGGAATGTCGCTCAACTGGACTGTCTGCAACACAGTTCCCGTGCAGTACTTCAGCGCTCGTCTCGGTCTCGCAAATGGTCTTATCAAGCTGGGCGGCGGAGTAGGTGGCTGCGTCATGGCCGTGGCGTTGAATTCGCTGTATCAACAAGTCGGTATCGAGTGGACTTTCCGCATACAGGGCCTGCTTACCTGGGCTATTGGTCTTCCGGCTGCGTGGATGGTCAAGGATCGTGTGCCGCTCAGGAACATACCCTTTGTCGATCTCTCCATGTTCCAGTCTCTTACGTTCATCGCTACGTTCGTTGCAAGTGCCATTGGTGTGTTTGCACTGTTCGTCCCGCCGTACTATCTTCCATTGTTCGCGCAGTCGATTGGACTCAGTTCCAGTACTGGTGCTGCGCTCGTCGCTGCTTTCAACGCCTGCAATGCCATCGGACGGTTCATTGCAGGTCCATTGTGCGATGAGTTTGGCCCACTCAATACCTTCGTCATCGTCATGGCCCTCAACGCCGCGAGCATGCTTGCCATCTGGCCAGTTTCGAATACCCTCGGTCCACTCGTACTCTTCGCAATCCTGAACGGTGTTGCAAACGGCGCGTACTTTACCACCCAGCCAACGGTAGTTGCTGGTATCTTTGGCCCCGGACGAGCTGCAGTAGCTATGAGCATGTCGGTCACTGGCTGGAGCGTGGGGTATCTGATGGGCGCGCCAATTGCTGGTTACTTGTTAGAGGCCGCTGGCGGTAGACAAGGTGCTGCATCGGGTCAGAACATTGACGTATATCGCCCTGCCATCTTCTACGCTGGTGGAACGGCCACTGTGTCGGCACTATGTGTTCTCATTGCGAGGCTGACGGTGACGGGGAAACTGCGCAAGAGGGTCTGAGTGCCGTGTACTGGGTGGAATATAGAGCATTGGTAACTTGTTGCAGTTGTGATTGATCAATCTGGCAAACAGACCTTACTTCTAAAGTTTAATGGAATCTATGTAGTCCTGGAAGGCACCCTCACATTCACGACCCGCAAGTTCATGCAAGGGGAACATCTTCTATCTCGCTGATCTGCTGGATGGCAGCCCTGAAACGCTCATAAACCTCCTCGACGCCCAGACTATAGTCTACAACGACATCGAACGAACCCCTTTGATCGCTCTCGATGATAGCGAGGATAGCGTAGTACCTATCGCGCGGGTCGCCACAGCGTCGATGTCGAAAGTCAAACGCAACATCGAGAAGGTTCCGCTGCAACACTACACCTTCTCTACGAGCAGCCTGCCTCATCTGAGATTCAAGGATGTGAAGCAACGGCATCCAATCAAGCTCTTTCGCATTCCGTTCGTGCAGGTTGTAGAGCGGAGATACGATCGCAGACTTGACGCGAAAGACCAACGCTCTTAAAGTGCGAAAGTCAGCGGTCCATTGGATTCGATACTGGCCACATTGCAAGACGATATGCCGAGCCAGAACTGCCTCTTGCAGGGTCCACATGCGTTCAAACCATGGTCGGTCGATGATGTTGGAAACGCTACGTTCAAGGTCGGGTATCGCGATGTGTGACCAGGGCGCAGCTTCTCCTTGGGCGTGACGTTGTAAAAAATATTGCAAATGTTCCATGTCTGTTCCTGTCTCCTCCGTCGGTACACCAAGATGAACAACAACACTTTTTGCAGTCCCGTAGATCATGTCCATTTTTTGAACCTGATGACTCCTTTCTTCTACGCTTCGTTGGTCGACGCACACTTGATCAGCCCACATCGTTCGTACTGACGCTGAATGTCGTAGAGCTCCGAAAGCGTCGTGAAGATTCTTGGTGATGCTAAATCGACAGCTGTCGACAATGATCTCGGCGCGGTCGAGACCGTTTCCCCAGACATAGGATATTGCCTCGTATGCGGGTGCGTCATATAATGCCGTTGCTATAAGACTAATCCGGATCGGGTCCCCTGAGTTGCCTGGATGGAGTTTAAGCAGACGAAAGTCTTCCCCTTCTGTTTTGTCGAGGGCATCGTGGCTGTAATGCTCTTCGGTTTCGTTCTACACAATTAAGCGCTAGTCATGTCACGACTTTGTAGGACGTACTAGTATTGCAGAGGGTGCGGCTCCTGGACTGTCAACGGTACATCTAATCCAGAATCCGAAGCCGAAGTGCCATCCAGTAGGTAGCCGAAATAACCATCGGTCGAGATGGAAGGGGAGGGAGCTGAGCTTAAAGAACTGCCTCCAAAATTGAGTCCAGTACGTCATTGTTGCTGCGCGATAGCTGTATGTAGGGTGGCTTTTAGCTATTGTGTTCAAGATCTCATCGTAATCGACTTGCGCTCTGGGAAAGTGGATGGGAGCGCGAAAGTAGTGACTCAAAGAATCGTGGACGCGATCAGATGCCCGAGTAGATTCCGGTGAGACCTACAAAAGGCACAGCCACCCCATGGCGTTATGGCGTACACCGCACCAATCAGACCAATCGGCCACATGCACTGGACCCCAATCATCATTGGCTCAGGAGACAGCGTGACCAACAATCCATTATGTATGTCACATGTGCGAGTATAGCGTTAGCTGGACATTAGGGAAGCCCCTAGATTGGAAGTCGATGACACAATATGAAGCGATCAGATCCTCTCACTGTACCGTCAGAAATTTCGGAGATCGAACAAGTACGCTTGATCTGATATATCGTTAACCTCCCAAAGGGCGCTACAAACGAACCCACCAAAAACCGAATCCACCACCCAATGCGATGCAAACATGCCCCTATATACATAAATCATCATACAAATAACCCCTATCAATCATCACAAACTTTCCCCCAAACACACTCCAGATGCACCAGAATACCACTCAAAGCTACCAGACCATCTCCTACATCTAATAAGAGTCACCAAAGAACTGACTAGCAAGCATGATATCCCTATCCCCATTCGCAAAATCCCACCCCACAATCGTCGGATCCTGACTACAACAAATTATCCTCCTGGCATCAAATTGCAGCTTGAAGACTCGTGAGTTGGTGCCGTTGTTGGTAAGAGGAGCGGCGAGGGGGTGAGGCTGGTGATGATGATGGTGATGGTGGTGGTGCGGTGCAGCGTTTGCAGGGCCGGCGGTACCTTGTTGTGCGGGTGCCGCGTTTGCGGTGGGAGGGTTATTCGCTGTGGGAGCTGGGTTGGCGGTGGCTGCTGTGTTTGCTGGTGCGTTGGCCGCGGCGGTAGGACCATGCATGGCTTGGGATGCTGCGTGGAGGGCGTGGGCTTGTTGGGCGAGGGTTTGGGCTGCTTGGGCTTGGGCTTGTGCTTGCTGTGCGAGGGCTTGGAAGTTGTTTTGTTGTGCAGCTGTTTGTGGGGTTGCTTGTTGATTGGGGGGTTGGGCAGGGTGGTTTGCGTTGGCTGCGTGGTTGACAGGTCTTCGGGGGCGGCCACCGGCTGCTCGGACGGCGTCGTTTTGGAGGAGGGTTTGAGACTTCTCCCATGCTCCGTCTGGGCCTCGCTTCCATATGATGACTGTCTCGTCATACGAGCCAGAGACTATGCGCGCCCATTTGCTACCGCCGCCGCCGGGTGGTAGTTTGGCACCGTAGGCGAATACCTTCGACGGGTCACGAGAACCGGCGTTACGAGCGCGTCGCTGTTCTCGGCTGAGGTTCTGACCAGTGAGCTGGCCACTGGCCTGGGCTGCGAAGTAGTTCTGATCAATTGACCGCGCTTCGGCTTCGAGCTCCTCCTCGTTGCCAGGAAGGTCGCCAAACTGAGCTTGCACGGTGCGCACAAGATTACTGTGGCCGTTCAAGCAGGCTACTTCTGCCCCAGTTGCGCGGTCGAAGATGCGTACACTTTCGTCCGAGCTGCCACTAACGATGCGTCGTCCGTCGAACTGAACACATGCAATACCCTTTGTATGGCCCGAGAAGGTTCGCGTGCATGCACCAGTGCGGACGTCCCAGCATTTGACACTCCTATCTCCAGATGCAGACACGATTTGACCATCAAGAATCTGGATGGCATTGACTGCAGCACCGTGTCCTTCCAAAGTCATGATCAGGCTGTACGGAAGGAGGGGTTTGAAATGGAGGTGTTGGCTCTCGACGTGTTCCTGCATGTTGATAATGTAAGAGGGGAAGCGAGCGCCCGACTTCATGGTGGATGAAGGGTAGGTGTCGTCCGTGGGCAGCATCTCCTTGCGATTCCATACTTTGATCGTCTTGTCTTTCGAGCAAGTGACTAGGTAGCGATCGTCAAACCTGAGATTCAGGACCGACTCGGAATGCGCCTTTTCGATTTCCTTGATGATGCGTCCTGTGGAGAACTTCCACAGAATCACTCTGCAGTCGCTGCCACCAGAGACTACAATGTCTTGCTCGGGGCGCTCGTCGAACTGTAAGCACAGCACGGACGCTGCGTGGCCGACGAGTGGCGGGTGTACAAGGCGCTGAGTGTCCAGGTTCCAGACCCTGATGCTCTTATCCCTGCTGCCGCTCACTAGGAACTTCCCAGAATACTGTATGGTATACACGCACTCGGTATGAGCTTCCTCGGGGTGGTTAGGGTGTGGTAGCTGGAAGTTGGAATAACGGCCAGTGCTCCAATTTTCTTCTAACCTCCTCTTTTGCTTGTAGAGATATTGCCAGTTGATCCTTGCTTCTGGGCCTGGAAGCAGCAACGAGGGGTGTATCGGAGGCCCGTTGGTCTCCGCGGAGGTGCTCGCCTGTGACGCCTCTTCGGTGACCGCGCCTTGTCTTCTTTCTCGGCGTGCCACGTCGGTGGGCGAGGCTGTAGGCGATGCACCGTGGAAGGAGATGCCCTCCATCTTATCCTCAGACCTGACGGATGGGCTGTCATCAGCCTCTACAGCACCGTGTTGTTCGCCCCAAGCGTTGCCCGCTGAGCCACTAACGGCCATTGGCTCTGATATGTTTTGTGTGCCATTTTCCAACGCGGCCCCGTCACCAAACAACTGCCGTTCTCGCACGCGCTTCTTGTGGGATGGTTTGCCGTAATCGGTGTCTTCGGCGGCTCTGTGTCGCGTCTTCCGCTCCTTCTCCTTAAACTCTGCGCGCTTCTGTCTTTGCGCCTCCTCGTATGCGCGCACCTGTGGGAAGTTGGAGTTCCAGCCCTCTAGCCTGAAAAGCAATTTCCATAAGGGGCTGTCGAGCACGCGTTCTCTCCACGAGCGGGACAGTGTCGACGCGCGTAATAGCGTCTCGGGGTTGAGATATGAGAGGATCTGGAAGGTGATCTCGGGTGGAAGGTACATGACAGGGTCGAGATGGAGGAGTGGGTTGAGCTTCTCGACGATACCGGCTATCGAGGAGGTCCGCAGCGAGCGTAGTATGGCGTATGCGAATTCTTATATGATGTCAGCGCAGACGCGCATGCTCTCGTGATATGTACTTACCACTGCGTTCGTTCTCGCTCAGGTTCATAACCCAGTCGGGCAGGGCAAACGGCGAGTCGGCGTCCATCTCGGCGTCGGTCAAGCGCACGTCGCTGCGCATAGCCATGTCGCCCTCATTCTGGCTCCTTGTGTCCTCGGAGTAGCCTTCGTCGAAGCGGTTTGCGCTCATGGCAGAGGCGGGGCGGAAAGGATGCATGTAGGGCGGGCCCGAAAATTGGGCGTTGGGGTTGCCTAGAGGGCCTGCCATGGTGGTGCACGCGAGGATGTGGGTGAGTGGAGACAAAGGTCGCTAGCTGAAAAGTGATGCTGCGGCCGTTTGCAGCGCGCTGGACTGCGGTGAGAGGATTGTGTTATGCTGTCTCAACATGCGCTGGCAGGGTGGTGAGGTTGGTGCTGCCTGGCGCTCTTGGTAATCACGGTACTGGCGATGCGGAAAGCGACGGGTGGCGAGTACGGGGTGCGATGCGCGTTCGGGTTATCACGGCGGGGTGAGGTCAAGTCAAGGATGGAAATGTCAACTTCGCGATGGCTCTCCCACTTTCGCAGAGCCTCGAGATGCCCAGGTGCAGCATGTCATGGCTTCCCGCGACACACGCCCGTGCACCCGCGCCCATTCACTCCAGATCTGCCGCTAGCCGAGCTGCCTAGGGCATGCGGACTACTACTCGTGCGGCCAAGTCGCTGCATCTGAGACACACCAGGAGAGGGACGCTAGATGCCCGCTTAACGGTCTGATGCACTAGAAGTTGAAGGATGCGGGCTAGAAGAAATGCAACAATTCCCCGATGTCGTTGCTTTCATGTGAAGGTGTGCCGTCTACGTGAAGCAGCGATTAGTCAACGGTTGCGCAATCGCCTGTTTGAGTTTTACTGTTGGGACATCGTGGGGGAATTTGTGCTGTTAACGCTGTTTGAGGATGCCTGACGATGCCTGACAGATGTGACAACTTCACGTGGATGTCTGACGGCTGTCTTGAAGGTTTTGTTATATCGCCCAGGTAGCTGCGGGCGTTCAAGCGCCGATCGGGAACATCACCTGCTCTCGCGTTCGCCTGAGGTGGACCAATACTGTGTGCCCGTCGGACGGCATGTGAGAACGGGCGCGTATCCAGCCTCCCATGGCCTTCCCGGCAACCTCATGGCCACAGAATGGGAATTGCTTTCTCACACCGCTCGACTGCCGCTCTCTAGCAATACTCGCATGAGCCGCGTGGTGTACTTGGGGCTAGCAAGGCTGGAGAAATGGGTCCGCGACGGGCAGGCAGAGGGGCGATCGCGGCCCAAGGCAGCGCCTGTGCCGACATGACGAACCGCAGGCGGCAGATGCTGGAGATGATGTGATAGGCACGCGCGTGCATTCACATTGCTAACCTTGCAAGTCATCGCAAGTCATGAGCGAGGCGCCGTTGTGAGTCAGCTGTCATATATCGCAGACTCGGTCGTGATCAAAGGACTGGCACAGGAAATGAGTGGAACGGCGACGCGCCGCATGGCTGTGGGGTGTCACCGAGCCGTGCTGCAAACAGCGTCGTTGGCACAAGCAGCGCCCAACGGCCAGCTGGACAGCCTGGGACAGCCAGCAGATGCCAGTGATGGGCGTGTATTGAGTTTTGTAGTCGCAGTCACGTGCCGGCTGCAACGCCTACAGGGCGGGTGAAACGACGAGCCGTGAACCCCTTTAGGCGTGCGCCGCCCGACACCTCATGCGAGACGTCCTGCGAGATTACACGATTATCGCCCATCTACAGTACAGCAATAAGAGATTATCGCGACCCGAATGCAGGCCGGCGGTGATTTTGCTCCTGTCGCCGCACGCTCCACATCGCCGCCCTGTTCAGTTAGCAGCAGCGACCCTGACCG